CTCGCTGTCAGAGGAGGTAAAAAATGGCCGGTCTCTAATACAGGCCGGGGCTATAAACGTTTTTTCTGGGCATACCTCAACATTATACTTGTGTTAGTAACATACAAGTACCACAGCCCTGCGCAGCTGGACGACAGGCCTTGACTGCTGCCCGTCTGCGCGAGGAAGAGAACAGACACGCAGCAGAACATGAGGAGGAGCGCGAGTGATGAGGAGATTAATACCCCGTTTACACTACCCTTAAAAAACTGAGCCGAGACCGGTCCGAGCTCAGTAACTGAGATAACTTGTCGTGTGTGAACGGAAACAACCTGAACTGAACCGAGATAGACATAACCGGACCGCGCTAACTGCAGACCAGTTCCCGAGGTGGGTTCGGCTTGGTTTTTTCCTGGCTCGGTTCTCTGATAACAAGTGCGCATGAGCAGAACGTAGGGTGGCCAGATGTCCGGCTTTAGGGCGGACAGTCCGGATTTTCATTGCACTGTCCGGCGTCCGGCGCTGCACCCAGCCGGACGTGTATTTGTCCTCCTTTACCCCCAGATTCCACATACTCCGTCAGCGCTCCGCCCCGCTCACGTACGGAGTACTTGTCTGTCATGTAAATCAATGAGAGCTGTTCCACATCCTCCGCTCGTCACCGCCCACGTACGTCTTCTCCGTCCTTCACCGTCAAAATACGGAGCTGAGCTATTTTTTGCTCCCCTCCGGTCCGTCCAGATCAAGACCCGCTATTGCAATCGCACCAAACAGAAAAAAGAATGTAGAGAAGACCCGGTTTGTCAAATTAAATTATAGTAAAAACAGATCGGTATCTAGAAATTAGAGCATAGTTTGTATATATTCCCAAAAACTAAGAGCAATTAATTAAATAATTGGATGCAGACTATTGGTGCTTCAACAGACCAGGAAGAAGTTGTGAGATTCTAGAGTGAATCTCACAACTTTATAAGAAAATTCTTATTGCAGGAATGGATGAGATGATGAGTTTGGAAGCAGAGAATAAACAGAGTTCATACAAACTATGTTTGATCCTAGTTATCCCTGTTACAAAAATCCACAACAGAAAGAAAATATTTGGGCAGAAACTGAACATCTGCTGGATGATGATGGGGATTTTTTTAATATGTCAGATTAAATTAAGCGTTCACAGGTTTTATACAGGAATGAGGAACTCTAATTTAATGCTCTTTTAATGCTATTAGAAATAATTTTAATGCCATCAACAAGTATCATGTGCACAAGTTATTAGTTTACATAAAATAAGGAGCTGTAAGCACAGTTCCATGACTCAAGTTTATATATATATATATATATATATATATATATATATATATATATTTATATTTATATATATATATAGATATATATATATATATATATATATATATATATAGATATATAAATATGGATAGATAGAGAACATGGTGAAATCATCTTTACTCTCGACAGGCTGCAGCCATGTCATGAATTCCTCTTTTCCAGCCACTTTTTGCAGTTTGCATCGTCCTATTCTCTAGCTCTTTCTCGAGCTTCTTTTCCAAACAACTGCTTTATGATCAATTGCAGCAGTTCTGCGCAAATTAATCGTGTTAAAAAATGGTCACTTTTTAAACACCACAATCTATTAAATAAATACAAATGCTGGGAACCAATTCTTTTTTACATTTCTTTAATATTTTGTTCTATTCAGCTACACAAGCATCCTCTTTAAACTACTAAGAATTGTGCTATAAATGTGACTTTACCCGATTCTTATGTACACCTTAGTAATTTATTGATATGCCGCACAATGTCCTCCTTTTTGGTGCTATAGAAATGGCCACCCTAGCAGAACGCGTCATCGCCGACTGGCTGAACATGCCGATTCACACTCCATCCGCGCAAGGTTGCCGTCTTCGCCTGACCCACCGCAAACACGGAAGTACAGCAATAATAATCAAGCATAACTTTCTGAATGTGACGGGCGCCGCCATTTTGATTTGCTTGATTCCCTCCTCCTTCGTCTTATTGGGTTTTACGGCGGTTGACAAACAGCGTTTGGTGCATTACCGCCACCAGCTGCTTGAGTCCCTCCTTCAATCCTAGCAGTAATACCGCACATCGTCACTAGGAGGCGAGGAGTCGAGATAACCGAGATAAGTGTGACGTGTGAACGGTCGTCAAAACTGAGCTTGGCCTGGTTACCGATCCAAGCTCGGACCGGTCTGGGCCTGGATCGGTTTTTCAAGGGTAGTGTAAATGGGGCTTAAAGGGAGAGATGAAGAGGAGGAGGAAACTGAGGAGGAGGATTAAACAGAATTGGAGGATTTTTTTTTTCTTTTTTACTTCAAACCAAGCGAGACATGGTAACTGTATTTTTTCAATAAATGAACCTAGTGTTTTATAGGTTCAAATAGACACAAATTCTCATTTTTATTCATTCCACTGGTAGTCTGTTTTGCTCAAATAGCAATAGAGGCCTGTCTCTAATTCTGGCCTCTTTCCAATAAAGGCCTGGACCGCGATGCACTTGAGTGAAATAAAGGCCCGGGCCTATATTAGAGGATTTACGGTAATAAAAACTACTAAAGAGCAACTTTGCTGTTCTCCATAAATGTTGGGAAAATTGTTTAAAAGTTTGTTGCATAAGGGCGTGCTTTGGTTGCCCAGTGTTTAGCGCACAAAACCCATGTACAGAAAGATTCCTTAGTCCTCGACATGGATGACCCGGGTTCAAATCCTTGGCCGCATGTCTCTCCCTCTCTCATACCCCCTTTCCTGGCAGCCTACTGCCAAAAAAATTAGACACTAGTGCCGTAAAAACTCCAAAATGTGCTGTAAAAACTCCCAAAAAAAAGGCTCTTGCATAAAAGCTTCTACAACACAATGCTGTTGATGGTAGATTGTTTTGAAGGGTCAGACAGGAAAGCTTGGTAAACAAATTTAACATATCTGAGATGCCGATACCATTTACTGTGAAAGAAAGGACAACGGAGAGAAAATGTAGAGAATAATGTAGGAGTGCTGCTAGAATTCCAGTTCCCAGATCTGTGTTTTCTATTACTTCTACAACCACTAAAACTTATGTTATAAATGTACATTATTGGCAAGTGAAACCCTGTCAGAGCTCTCCTTAGATATCAGCCCAGGTATAGTTTGCCCTGCAAAAATAATCTGCTCTCTTGAAAATCTCAAACTCTTGCCACATTTCAGGCATCGAACATAAAGATTTTTTAGTGAAGAATCAACAGCTAGTTTTACCCAATCATGAAGTGTAATTAAATATATTGGATATTTTTAACTTTTTTAACAAATAAAAAACTGAAGAATGGGGTGTTTAAAATGAATCGGCCCCTTTTACTTTCAGTGCAGCAAACTCTCCCCAGAAGTTCAGTGAGGATCTCTGAATGATCCAATGTCGACCTAAATGACACTAAAAAGAATCCACCTGTGTGTAATCACGTCTCCCGATAAATGCACCTGCTCTGTGATCGCCTCAGAGGTCTGTTTAAAGCGCAGAGAGCATCATGAAGAACAAGGAACACATCAGACAGGTCAGAGACACTGTTGTGGAGAAGTTTAAAGCTGGATTTGGAAACAAAAAGATTTCCCAAGCTTTAAAAATCCCAAGGAGCACTGTGCAAGGAATGCACATTTTACCTTGCTGATTCTGATTCACATTTTACCAACTGATTCTGATTAAAACTAATTTTTGAAATAAATTATTTTGTGTATTTTTTTACATAACATTTGCCATTGCTAATGGCATACACAGTAATCTAGCGTACTTTAAATAAATCAATTCAAGCTAAAATGTAAGAGTCTATAATTAGGTCATACTGAACCTATTTGTACCATCTATTTGGGGGATATTTATTGCCACACTTTGGGCCACTTATTACCAGTTTAGCATCAAATAAATGAGGCAGCCTACCTCAGCATTGTTGCTGACCTTATGTCCTTATGACCACAGTGTACCAATCTTCTGATGGCTACTTCCAGCAGGATAATGCGCTATGTTATAAAGTGAATCATCTCAGACTCATTTCTTAAAATTTTTCCACTTAAGTAATTGTGAATTGAGCATATTGACAGACAACATTTTATGTTTTATCTTAAATGCAATTTAAAAAAAATAATTATTGCTCTAAATGTATTGCTCTGTCAGCTAAAGATCTGTTTTGGTCTCTATACTTTAACTAAAGAAATCAATTCAAGCTAAAATGTAAGAGTCTATACTGAGCCTGATCTCTTTGTATCAGAGATTTTCTTAGCTTTTAGAAAAATGTCACTTGGGGTAAAACTCCCCCTGCAACCCTGATTTGCATTTGTATAGCTCACAGCATTTTCATTTACATGTTAAAGCCTCCCCTAGAATTCCATGGGGGGGAGGCATGGGGGGAACACTGCCTAAGAAAGTCCACGTCAATTTCTGACAATTTATGGGAGTTTTCGGCGAAGCCTGCAAATTACCGTAAACTGCCGTTAACCTGAACTTCCACGACAATCTACAGTGCCGCATATTGACAAAAATCCCACTTTTCATGCAGTGATGATTCTTCCATCTATTATAATCATTTAACATCGTCCACTGACTTAATGCAATTGTGCATTTTTTTATTTTCTTTCGTTTTCTTATTATTTTTAATTTCTTATTTTTTTTCACTTTACATATATTCACAATTTTCTTTTTTAGCTTCTTTACATTTATTCACAATTTTAGTTTTTTAATTTTTAGCTTTCTTTACATATATTCACAAATTAAGTTTCATAGTTTTTTATATTCATAAATTTTTCTTATTTTTAATATCGATAACACAAGGATAATATCCTTTTATAATCGAAAGGGTGGTCTGTTATCGGAAAATTTTTATTTCTGTTTCACCTTAAAGGCCACACCTGTTGGGATCTGGAGATTCACCGCCAGCAGAGTGCGCTGTGGATCTCCTGGGCTGGAGCCCTCCAGCACAGCTGACATTCATCAGCCCATCAGGAGACCTGCCTATATAATCAGCAGCCAGACCTTCCTTTAACGCCACAGTGTTGAACAAGTTTGGTTAGCGAACCTGAGCAACTGTTACTACTAGAACCTTTGTCTCTGAAGAGAAACCCAATTCTAACCTGCCTCTGTCTTCTCGCTCCTAGGAAACCTGTCTCTCGTGTGAAGCTCTGGATGAGCTTAGCATGTTACCTGCCTGCCTACCCTAGAGAGCTAAACCTGAAGATCTCACTCTGGAATCCACCTGCTGCTCTCAGGGAAAGAGCTTATCACTCAAACCAAGGTCTGACACTAAAAAGTCAGAAGCTAGACGCTGCTGCTGCTGAGCACTCTGCTGAACCAACAATCTCTGGACCCAACCAGTTCCCTCTCTCAGAGAAAGCCTGGACCTTGTCAAGGTATTTTCAGAAATATCAGAAAACTCAACAACTCATCAGTTAACCTGGCTAATCAAACTATCCGTCTCTGCAGACGCCTGAGAATCCTGCCCGGACCTGTTTCCTGAATCCAGTTCATGTTTACTTTGTGCAAACCTTTAATAAACTCTGTTGAACTTTTTATCAGTCTCCAAGTGGTGTTCTGCATGTGGGTTTGATTCCCAAACCAACCATGACAACACCATTCTCTGCAGGGTATGGTTTGTAGACCAGACATTGCTTCTTCCCATAACAAATCAGATTCTTTCTCAAGGTTTATTCATAACATGTTTAAGCACTGATTAACCAAAGTGTCTGTAATTTGTTTTGACTCTTACTACTTTTCCATTGTTGTAAGTAAGGAGGAATGAACGCTGCTCATGCAGAAAAGGGCATAATGCTGTGCCTGTATGATGAACTGTTCTCTATTTGCAAAGATATGAATAAATGTGCCGACTGAGTGAAATCCATCGATCTCCGTTTATTTAACTAGGGTGAATAGTTGAATACTTTTTTTCCCACTACCATTTGACGTTGTCAAAGCAGGATTCTCCTTGACTGATTTTTTTCTGAGGACAGCAATTGCCAGAAGTGTCAGGTACTTCTGGAGGAAGCAGTCTTCCAGCCTCAATACCCCGTTAGAAGGTAAAGGGAGTGAGGACATCTGGCATTGAGGTCCCAGAAGGTCAGCAGGAGGATCAAAACAAACCATTTTTTGATATGGTGAGATGAATCTGCTGTTCGCATAGTTTAAATTAAATTTCAAAAAATGAATTACAAAACAACAGTTTAACAGATTTACAGATCATTAGAAATCAAATACTGGAAAATTAGCTCAAAGTCCTTCTCTTCTCCTTAAAAAAAATCAAATAAATGTAATCTAGCAAAAAATCTAACTAAATTAAAGATTAATAGGTTAATCATTTTAATGCACTAAAATTAGTATAATACTAAAGAATATACATATAAAATAAAAGATATCTTTTCTTTTGGGGACACACGCAATTCAGTTTTTTTCCCCCGCCTGTTAACCAAAAGACCCTCGCATAGGAATGTGAGGCTCTCTCTAAGCACTGAGAGGAAGGTTGTAGGTGCCACCAGAAGGTACTTAATTTTACTGAGATGTCGGTAATCTAGAGTGGGATCCCCCTCAGGTATTCAGGTCGGCACCAGAGGATTGGTGTGCATATTGGAAACGGGTAAATTACCTGTAGATAATGGGACAGATTTTGTAGTTCTAGGGCAGTAGAACAAAGGCAAGATTCCAGGGAATTGTCAACTCCCCAAGAAGAAATTTTTGATTTAATGTTGCAATACAAAAATGTTAAAGATAAGATAAACCAATATGATGAGAAGTTAGAGACTAAAAAGATAAGATAAGATTTACAGATTTGAAAAACAAAAAACAAAAAAGAAGAGGAAAACAAACGTTTAAAATGATTGATGGATGAGAGGAGAGTTCAAAGAAACTCTCAGCTCCAGAGGGAAATGGGTTAAAATATGAAGTCCAAAAGGCAATGTTTAAACCTGATACTAAACATATTTACACTGTGTTATATATTAAACTTACACTATACTAAGTAATAATAATGAATTTTAATTTCAATTGTGCTTTTAAAGAAACAAAACTCTAAAATGTTTAGAGGTAATTAAAAACTTATATTTAAAAAAAAAAAAAAAAAAAAAAAAAAAACTATTAAATTATTACAGAGTAAGTAGGGCATAAAATAAGGTGAAAATTAAAAGCTGAAAAGAGTTGTAACTTGTAAAATGGAGGAATTAACCTAAAATTACATTACAAAAAACAAAATGAAATAGAGAAAAGTATGTTGAGAAAAAGGCAAAGTATGTTGATAAAAAGGCAAATTGTGGAATTCAGACCTGGAGGAGATGCCCCCCTCCTATCAGAAAGGCAGCCTGCCACAAGCATCAATCCCCCCTACCCCTCAACGCACACACACCGTCACAGGAACGGATGGAAATGATGAGTTAAAATATGGGGAAAACAAGACAAAAGGATTTTCATCTGCTCTGAACCCCTGACTCTAATAACTCACCTGAGCTTCAACTTGCTTCCCAATGTGTGTGCAAGAACTATGAGGACAGAGACACTGGGGACATTTTTTTTTTGTGGGGAAACAAGGAGGAGGTGCACCAAAACTAAGGCTTTTCTTCTCCTCGGTGCTAATTTAATTTGTAATTAATGAAGTGTTTGTTTTTGTTTGAGAAGTGGCTAACCTTTTGGACTGAGGTGTGTAGTGTACTTATACCATTATATAATAAACGGTGAGGCTTGTTTTTCTGGTGAGGCACTTTGCATGTAACTTTTATTGCAGCTCGCCAACTACACAGACCAAACATATCGAACACTGAGTGATGCGTTTCTCATAGGGTAAACCAATTGATCACAGATGATCCAGATCATTCTAACAATATACTACATCCTCCCTTTTTAAGCATGAGAATCATATTTAACTTCACCGTAACTCTAGATATTTAAAGTAACATTTTAAGATTACCACAAGATATAACATTTGAATTAGGCGTTTTAAACGACAGCCTTACACTGTAAAACAACCTTTAAATTTGTCATGATGGGTTCACTAAAAGTGACCCAAGAATGCAGAACACCACTGACGGACACAGGGATGAAAGTTTAACAAGTTTATTTATGCACAAGCACACAGAATGTACTGGTTCAGGTTCGGGGCCTGGATACTGGTTCACCGGAGTCTGCGTGAGAGACAGTTCAGTTAGCGTTGCCAACAGAGGTTTGATTTCCTGAAGTTTACTGATTGTACCTTGAGGGTTCTTGAGGTTAGCTTTGGGAGAGTCTCTGTTGGATCTGGAGAAGAGTTCATCAGCAGAGTCCGTTAGCTGCTTCAGCGTCTCACGTCTATAGTGAACAGACCTTGGTTTTGGGATTCCCAGCTCTAGTCCAGAGCTGCTTGGAGGTTCTCTGAGATTCTTCAGGTTTGGCTCTGAGGGTCGGCTCGGCAGGTTAGCTCTTCCTGAGCTTTCACAGAGGAGACACAGGTTTCCTAGAAGACGGATAAGAGATAATAGTTAGAATCCAGGCTGGATTCAAAGTCAAGAAGTTTCACTGAGGATCTAGGCTTAAGCGCTGACCAACTGGAACAACACTGCGGCGTTGAGGCAAGGTCTGAAGACAGCTTAAGTAGTGGATCCCCTGATGATCTTGATGAGCTGCAGCTGTGCAGGAGGCTCCCTCAGAGGATCCACGGCGGACTCTGCTGGAATTTCTCCAGCTCCCAACAAAAATTACATTCATACAAATCTTTTAGAAAAAAAATTTTTATACACATTCTTTCATTCACCTTTTTTTTGTTTTTGTTTTGTGCGTGTCTTTCTGTCTATTTTGTTGTCAGTTCAGTCACACTGTGAAACAAAGAATATGGAAGTAAAAAAAATTAGCCCATCAAACTGGAACAAGGAAATGTAAACAAAGTCAGAACATGACTTATCTGCAGGCAGGACTTAAGTGTTATTTCAACTCATAGTCCATGAACCTTGTAGGAATCTTCACGAGCCTCCCACTTCTTGTGCTGTAGGTGGTTGCAGCTGGAGTGGGACTGGATGGTTCACAGGCTGGTGTGCATTGGTCTTGCTGGGCCTGTAATGCACTGTCCTCTCTCTGTGAAGCAATGGGCTGCTCTAGAAGTTCATCGTCGTCCACTCGATGAAGACTGGGGTGGATTCTCCTTAGATGATGTCGATTTCTCCGGAACGTGACACCACTGGGAGTCTGGACGTTGTATGCACGTGGTTCCTCTCTTTTGCTCAGGACCATCGCTGGTTCCCAACCACGACGTGTTGACATGTGCACTGTGGTACCAGGAGCAAACTCTGGCAGTTTCTTTGTGTTGTGGTTGTAGTAGTGCACTTGCCTGGCTTGTAGGTGTTTTAGCCTCGTGTGGAACCCGTGTGGCAAAGCTGGTTGCAGAACAGCTGTGGAGGTCGGCAGGGTGCTCCGCAGTACTCTTCCCATCAGGACTTGTGCTGGTGAGAACTCTGTGCCAGTCACTGGAGTGTTGCGCAGGACACAGGAGAGCTAAGTACGGGTCTGTGCCGGCCTGTGTCGCCTTTTTAAGTGCCTGTTTTACAGTCTTTACCATTCTCTCTGCTAAGCCGTTTGACTGTGGATACCCAGGGCTGGAGTGAACAAGATTTATGCCCCATGACGACGCAAACTGTCGCATTTCAGAACTGGCGAAATGGACGTGATCGCTTACAAGCTCTTTTGGGATCCCATGTCTGGCAAATATTCTTTTCATTTTGCGTATGACGGTGTGGGCAGTTTTGTCAGGTAAGTGGAGCACTTCAGGGTATTTTGACATGTAATCCACCATCAGAAGATATGACTGTCCGGGTTGCTCAAAGATGTCTGCATCAATCTTCAGCCATGGCAGTTCAGGTACCTCGTGTGGAATCAGGGGTTCTTTGTGATTCTGTGGCTGGAGGTGTTGGCATGGGCTGCATTTCTCCACCTGGTTTTCGATGTCGTGTTTCATACCTGGCCAGTACATCACCTTTCTTGCTTGTGCTTTCGTCCGCTGTATCCCCTGCTGTGCGAGGTGCAGTCTGTCAAGCATCAGCTGCTTCACACTCTGTGAGATCACGATCCTGTCACCAGTCATCAGGATGCCATCCCTGATGCTGATGTTGTGTCGCATTGACCAGTACTGGTGTAGGTTGGTAGGAACACTGCGCCGTCATCTCGGCAAGCCTCTCTTGTGTAACTCCATCACCTGTTGCAGTGTGCTGTCTGTCGGCGTGGCCCCCTTGAGCTTTGAGAGCATGTCTGAGTCGAGTGCGTCTGTGGCCTCCATTGCATACACTACTCTCTCTTCTCAAACAGATCCTCTTTCACGTCATCGTTGCTGTCACTGACAACAGCATGGGACAGGGTATCATCAACGTGCATGTCCTTGCCTGCTGTGTGGATGATTTTCAGGTCGTAGCATTGGAGCTGCAGTAGCATGTGCTGGAGTCATGCAGGTGCCTTGCTCAGATGTTTTTTGAAAATGACTTCTAGGGGCTTATGGTCAGATTGTACAGTCACTGTGTTGCCATACACATACTGGTGAAAGCGTTTTTTGGTGAAAGCTATTGCCAGCAGCTCTTTCTCTATCTGAGCATAATTTTTCTCAGAGTCTGAGTGCTTGTGATGCATATGACAGTGGCCTACCTTCGTGCAGCAGTGAGGTGCCGAGTCTGTCTTTCAATGTGTCACACTGTATGGTGAGTGGCTTGCTCCGGTCGTAGAACTGTAGAACTGGGGCTTGCATGAGGGCGGTCTTCAGCTTGTCCACTGCAGCAGTGTGTCGGTTTCTCCAGTGCCAGGCAGCATCCTTTCGAAGCAGCTCTCTGAGTGGGCTTGTGATCGTGGCTTCATTTGGGATGTATTG